AATATTCAATAAATAAAAATACATGTCTCCATTATAATGTTAAATAAAAACATGAGAGAAAAACATTAAATGTTATTTGCCACCAATAGTACCACACTTTGTTATCCAAAATGATTAAATAAAGAAGCAGAATTAAGTGTATATGCTGTCTTTTAATCAAAAATCATAATTCATCTCCTGTTGATAATCAGATCATTTTTTAGGCATCATAAGCTAAAATAGGAAGAATAAGTAGAATTTTTTTTTTTTTTATTAAACTGAAGATTTAGTGGATGAGGGGAAAAAAGGTGAGTGAAAAATTACTGGATAACAGACATTTTTAAAGTGTCTAAAGATTTCTTATAGATTTCTTGCTAATTACAAAAGGAGGAAAACATAACCTTTATAAGAGAGTGATATAATCTGTTATCGCAAAAAGTGATATAATCTGTTATCGCAAAAAGGAGAAGCAAATTAGCACTAATTTATTTGGGACAACCTGATGCTATGTGTCAATTAATGAGATGAATCTTTAATAAATAACATTACTTGTGTCACATTTTTATCAGAAATATTTCTTTTTTTTTTTTTTTTTTTACATTTTGGAAGGACAAGTTTATTAGGAAAAGGAGAAAGTGAAAGAGAGGCACCTGCATAGTGACAGGTGGACAGGAGAGGTGCCCATTTGAATCTTACCAGGTCTTTAGAACGGGTATCTAGTTTATAGTTAATAAAAAGCATGAGGAAAGTGTTAAATGACACCATCAGAAACAATTAGAAATATCCAATATCTGGGAAATTCTAAAAGAAATAGACTTACTGTCTTTTAAAATGTATGTATTTAAAAAATAAAATTGTATGGGTTTAATTTAAATTTTAAAATAAAAAAGACAATAAAATACAATATGGGATTTTTTTTATTTGTAGCCAAAAATAAAACAGCTATGAAAAATTAAATGGCAGCTGTTTGGGGAAATTTATATATGGGTTGTATGCTATGGTATTGGGGAAATACTATCATTTTTTAGGTAGAATATTGATATTGTGATTATGTAAGAATAAGTCTTATTTAGGAAATGCATATTGACTTATATACATAGGTAAATATCATCAGTATGTAACCATCAAATAGTTCAGAAAAATGTGCATGCATAAATATTAGTAAATAAACTATAAAAAGGTTAAAGAATTTTTAATTAAGTAATGAATATGATATGCTGATATTTGTTATGATTATTATTCTTATTCTGTATGCTTCATATTTTTCACAATATAAAATGAAAATGAAATGTGCCAGAGCATTTTTAGAATAAAGTAGTAGTAAGGGGGCCTCCCCAGTGGCGCAGCGGTTGAGCGCTGGGTTGCGAAGCTGCCCGCGGCCTCTGCGGCGCCAGTTCGATCCCCAGCTGCTCCCCGGCCACCTGAGGAGGGTCCCACAAGGCGCGCAGACCTCTCCTGCCGCCCGCTGCTCCCCTCAGCAGTGTACTTCGGTCCTTCTGCCTGCTCTGCTCCCCGCTCTGGCTCTGGTGAATTCTCTCACCCTCCCGCGCTTCTGACTGTACCCAGTGCATGTATAAACAAACAAAACAAATAAATAAATAAATAAATAAACAAAACATGCCTCTATAAAAAAAAAAAAAAAAAAAACTATAAAAAAAAAAAAAATAAAGTAGTAGTAAGAAACACAAAATGTCTAAACCTCAAAGAAGTTCTATCATTATCAAAACAATATTACTTAGGCATTTACTAGATTGGTCTCTAGTATCCTTGGAACATTTCTAAATTTGTTCTGATATATAAAACTACCAAAATCTCATTTTTAATTTTAAGATTTTACAGATGAACTTTGCTTCATCAAGTTGAGTAGGGTTTTTTCCTGGGGCTTAGAGCAAAGTTATTTCTGCTTTGCATTTGCTTCACCCTTGACTAATAAATCTCATTGAAAACCATCCTGTGGGCTATTGATAAAAACTTTGTGAGATAATAAATAAGTAAAAGATTAAAAAACTTAAACAAAAGGGGATCATGAATAATAGTGATTTTTTTTTGAGAAAAAAAATGATCATTTCTGCTGTTTTAAAGCCAAAGTTCAACTCTTTGCAGTAGTCACATTCCATTTTGTACATGATATGTTGTAGTATCAAATATGTCAAAAACAAAATACCTTTCACTAAAAATCAACAGGGTGTTCTAAGAGCATTTGCAGATGTTTAAAATTGAACTGGAGGGGATAATGCTAAGCAAAATAAGTCAAAAGGAGAAAGACAAATATTGCTTGATGTATTTACAATATACAGCAATAAAACAAAGGGTCAGTCAAAACCAAACCAAATGTAAACCCTAGAAATATGATTGCAAAATTGAGACTATCAGAAGGGGAAAGGACAGGTATAAAAAAAGAACAAGGGTTTGGGAGTCCAATAGACTATGGTGGAGAAGGATTATGGGTGCCTCAGTGGTGAATATGGTATGTTAGCACACACCTGACAAGGCAGGATCCTGTGAATATCCTTCTGAGCTAAATACAATATTATCAACCAGTGTTATACCTTCATAAATAATATGTTAAAGGAAAAGGAAACATCACTACTGCTCATAAAAGAGGAATGGATAGATGCTTATAATTTTGAATTTAATATTATATTGGGGATGATAGTACAATGTGTGTATGATGAAAACAGGCAGAGAAATTGCAAGTTCCCAGATATTTTGGGCTATCCTCACAATCCTCACAGTCAAGAGTCCACCCACGTTGAAGCAGCACCTTTATTCTTATTCTGTTTCTGTAAGGCTCTTAAGGTATTTTATTTGATTGATTCTCACACATGACTATCTGTCAAAAAGATGACCTCTTAAGAGTTGGATCCTATCTTCTTCTTCTTTGATTGCCTAGATCTTACACAGGACTCCACAAGCCAGATTCTCAATATATTTGTACCGAATGTAATTTAACAATCCCAAAGAAGTTAAGATCTGGCAACTCAGAGACCTCAGAAAGACCTGACTTATATACTAGTTTACCTGCTCCACTACTTAGAATCTCTGAATGAACTTGAGAAAGTAACAGCATTATAGTATTGAGCCTTCTTTAGGTTTCAATAAGTTTACATATTGACAGGATCATTATAAGGACCAACTGTGATGATAATAATAATAGTTAATCTTTATCAAGTACCTTTATTGTGTGTCAACTATACAATAAATATGGTCCTGAGTATGATATGGCTACATCTCTACTAAAAAGCTGACTTAATTATCTGCTACTCCATAAATTATGTATCATTATTTCTCAGTTTTACAGATTAAGAAATAAGACAAACAGAGGTTAAATAATTGCTCAAGATCAAATAAAATGCAGAATAGGAATTTAGATAATTTGAATGTGAAGGAGCTGCCTGTAATATTTGATCAATGTAGATTTGATTTAAAAAAAAAACCAATACAAAAACATTTCAACTGCTATTCATAAAGTTCCTTTTGTTGTTGTTTTTGAAGAAAGAAAATGCAAAGCTTCCTTTGGTCTGCAATTACTGCTAATAAGTGTGTCAGTTTTATGAACATGTGCATATATTTAAGCTTCCAAAGACTCGCACTTTTGCAAGCTGTTGAACACTAACTGGATGTGAATAGCTACAGGGAAATACACTCTGCATAATTGAAGTGACTTCTCTATTAAAGAAAACCATGTGTGACTTGGGTAGGATGTGGCACTTCTGCCTTATGATTTACAACAACGTATCTATTCCTTTAACTTCGCCTAACAATTTGAAGTCAACTTATACATGTTTTTGGCTTAAATTGCCCTTGCCTTTCAGTGGAGATTTGACATTTGAAAATACAAAATAACAAGTATTATTTCTGTTTAATTCTTAAAATTCTGGCTTTCATCTAGACAGGCACCTGATTTGGAGAAAAGCAGAGCCTCTCGCCAGCTGGAAAGAACTAGAAAGTAAAAAAAAGTCAAGGTTTCTAAGAATATAGGTCTCTCCCCATTTAAACTGTTCCAAACCACACTCACTTATAATCATAGACTAAAAAAAATTCTTGACTTTTTTTTTTACAGAACCTTTTAAATCATCTATGCCAGCGGCTACAACTTGAGGCAGCCACATGGCCAGAATCTCTGTTCTCATGTCTTTGGCTATAAGAAAAGTCTGTAAGCCAATTTCCAGACTGTGTTAAAAGTAGTTTAACTGTCAGAATAAAAAAAAAAGTACCTTTGATGTTCAATATTTGCAATTAAACATTTGGTTTATGTATGTTTCCTTTTTAGGATTATTAAACCAGAACTAGTCACTTATACTGGAGTACCACACTGTTATAGCTAGCTAATAATTATATCACATTCATCTGCCTCCAGTATTAAGTTCACAGGCCAATCTTTATTATTATAATTAATTTTTAAATAAATTCACTTCACAGTTTCATTTATTTACAATACTGAATGTGTTTACTTTGTGGCCTTTCCTATAAGTAACCAAGCTAAACAAACAGTTTGCAAAAAAGAAAAAAAAAAAAAAAAGGCCTCAAATTGCATTTTTCTCAAAATACTGACAGCTTTCATAAAAAGTGTGTTTCCTTTGCTTTTGAATGTTAGCCGCTATAACATAAGGAAGACTGTTGGTTCTAAGAAAGTATGTATTTATTTTCTACAATATAGGAATCTTTTACTGTTATGATTATTTCCTCTATTAATATTAGAGAGTCAGAGCACAAGTTTTAACATAGAAATGAAATTTTTAGTATCTGAATAAAACCAAGGACTAGTTAGCTTACTACTTTTCAGTGCACCAGATGAATTCTTAATGAAAACATTTTACTTTCTTCACTGTAAATCAATATATGGAGAACATTCATAAGTTTCTAAAAAGAAATTCTGTTTTTACAGGTCTAAGAATACATTTTTTTCATGTTTGCATTGAATCACTTTCCCTTTAAAAAAGATGTCCATTATTAACTATTTTCCTAAGTAAAAGAAATCCAAGAGGATTTTTTAAAATTTTTGTTCTGTTTGTTTTCAGCAGCCATTACAGATGCCATGAGCATCCCGGGCAGTGAACATGGCTCTGTCTATCTCCTTCCCCAGGAGCTTTGTATGCCTCCTGTTCATTGATCATATCATTCCTGATTTACAACATGTAAGTGCTATTTTAGATTTTATGTGTTATTTGATATATTATTTTTGGGGGCCTGGGGATGCTTAAAAATGTTTCAATATAAATTAATGGAGTTGTTTTTTTAGACCATTTCAGTTTAAGAAAGGTTTCATAGGAGCACTCTACTTCACATTAGTGGGAGAAACCTATATTATTAAGTGGCAGCATAAGGATGTTTGTGGAGGGTTCTTTATTTTCCATCTCTATTACTCCATATGAATACCAAATCAAAATACAGTGTGTATGCTGTTCATCAAAACAAATCCTCTTCAATTCACTTCCAATTACATTGGCTCTCCTAATCCCCTCTTAAGTAGAAATTCTGAAGCTGCCACTGATACTATTCCTTCTATTTTGAAACAGTTCAATCAAAATAAACTCCTAATGAAGTTGTCCTGTTTTTGAGCTGTAAAGGTTTGCTAATCTTAGAGTCCTATTTGTGGTGCCTAGGTAAGGTGGTGCCTATCAAATTACGAAAAGGGCTCTAATTTTGTTTGAATGTAACAAAAGTTTGCTTCAAGTGTTCATTTTGATAGCATCATTTCTAAATTGATCAAAATATCTCAATCTGATAAAAAGATTTAGATCAGATATGAGACTTGTTATCAAAGCCCAAGTTTACTAAATAATTTTTAAAAAACTAATTTTATCAAAGTATTTTAAAAATTAATTACTGATAATAATAGTGTATTTGCTATACATTAATAAATTTGAAAGGAAACAAAGACAATAATATTCAGTTATTTGGCAGGTGTAGGTTATTGCCTGTTTCATCCAGACAACGAATCATTCATTACATATTATAGGATTATGACATTCATTTTGAATTGTAGACTTTTCCTTTATAATTCATATTGAACAATATATTTCTCTCATAATTTCTATATAAATAAAGTATACTTGACAATATAGTGCTTGAATTTACAAAATTTAATGTGCCCACTATTTGATTTATTGGGGAAACACACTATTTCTAACTTCCGTTAATTATAGCATTCATTATACAGTAAATGCAGAATGAGATTCAAGCAATAATCCTCATTTTCAAGTCTATTTTGAAAGTGATTTCATGAACTGAATGTAAATATTTTTGTTATCACTGGTTAATATGCTCAGTAGATATTAAAAAAAAAAGGTGACTTGTAAACTACCATTGGAATATTGGTGCCTTAAAAGTAATTTTATTTTCTATCATCTTAATCTGTAAATTATAGTGTGAAATTAATATAACAGTGGTAAAATTATGCATATACACATCTATGTAATAGTCTCTAATATTTAACTTCAACTGTATTCTTAACCAGGTATAAAAATGCTTAAGGTAAGTGATCTCATCAGAAGATAGCTGGAAAAAAAAAGTCTCTTTCTTTTGCCAAAATAAGCACAGTTATAAAATCATTAAAGAGAGCACAAAATATAACTATACTATAGAAAACACTTATACTCCATTGTATAATTATACAATAATCTGTTTATCCACTTATTATTAATAATAGATTGTTTCCAAATTGGGGTAATTTTGAATAATACTGCTATGATCTTTTTTATGCATATCATCTGGGGCACATATATATATGTATGAGTGAAAATGTGTACATATGTATAAAGCATGAATGGAATTACCAAGTTTTTTGGTCTCTGATGTGCCCCATTACCAACTGCTACCACTTTCTAAATGTGTACTACTAATATATGCTATATATAGAATTAGTACTACCAATATATGCAATATATACCAATATATGCAATATAGTACTACTATATATAGTATATATAGTATATATATAATATATAGTATATATAGTACTACCAATATATGCAATATATAGTATTTAAGAGTTTAAATTGTACCACATTTTATAGTCCTTAATATGGCCAATATTTAGTTTGTTTTCTTTTAATGTTCTAGGGTTGATGGGAAATGTCATCTTATTGCAGTTTTAATTTGCATTTCATTATCATGTGAAATATGTAATTATACATTTACTTTTTTTAATTTTTGGATATGATGTTTTGATAATTGCTTGTCTTATTATTTGTTTTTGCAAATTACATCAAGCAATCTTTATTCTGGATAGAAATTTTTATGTCAATACAATATATGATGATTTCTCTTATAGTTAGATATTTCACTAATTAATAATTCTTTTTGATTTAAAAGTATTAATATGAATGCAATATAACCTATCAATGTTTTACTTTATGAGTGATGCATTTTTGTGTCTTTTAAAGATATTATTGTCTAGCCCCATGGTCATAAAAGTATTATTTTATGTTATTTGCTAGAAACTTAATTGGTTTGAATTTACATTCTATTGCAAAACTGAGAAATTAATTATGACATATCATGTTATGTGGATTAAGGTCACTAAATTTTTTACTTAAGAAAACATTTAATGACTTAGAATGTTAATTAATTTGTTAAGATGTATTTATACACCTCAATATTCATCCTTTTGAAGTGTATAATTCAATAGTTTTAGTAAATTTGCAAAGTAGTGCAACCATCACTACTACATTTTATCATTTTTAAGAAATATGCATTTGTTTAAAGAAAATCACTCTCATTTTTCACCTTCCCTAAGCACTCAAAAATAATGAATCTAGTTTCTGAGTTTGTCTATCCTGGGAATTGCATTTAACTGTCATCATACAAAGTATAACCCTTTGTATCTGGCTCCTTTCACTTACTGTGTTTCAAGGTTCAATCATTTTGTAGCATCTAGCAGTGTTTTATTCCTTATTTTTTGCTTAAATAATTGTACATTGTATGAATAAACCAAGGATATTCATTTATAGGTAGATAGGGATTTGAGTTGTTTAACTTTTTAACTATTGCTACTATTCAAAATGCTTCTTTGAACACTTGTGTATAAGTTGTTGTGTAACCATAAGTTTTCCATTCTCTGGGATATTACCTAAAAGTGGAATTTCTGTGTCAAGTGATAACACCATGTTTAAATTTTTGAGGAAATATTAAAATATTTTCCAAGTAGCTTCATTATTTCACATCCCCTTTAGCAATATATGATTACTATAATTTAGTAGTATCCTCACAAATGATTGTTTCATCTTAACGATTAAAGAATTTCTCATGGATATAAAGTAGTATTTCACTATAATTTTGATTTGTATTTCATTCATGATTTGATATTTGAACATCTTTTACTGGGCTTTTTGACCTTTTTATGGGTTCTATAGGGGAAATATCTGCAACTGTGTGTTTTCTCTTTATTGTTGACTTATACAAGTACTTTATATACTGTGAATACTAGTTCTTCATGATTTTCAAATAACATCTGTAGGTTAATCAAAGTGGTTGATGAACAGGCATATTTACTTGAAAATTCACCTTAATCCCACAATGTAGAAATGAGGAGTGGATATTGTTGGGTGACAGTTATTCTCAGATCTCTCATGTCACTGAATGTCTTATGAGTAAGGCACAGATGGTTGGCTCTTTTGTTCCAGAGTACATTTTTTATGACATTTATATAGATGATCTCCTTGGAAGATAGAAATAGTATCTCCCTCAAGTGCAAAATGCAGACATTGTTTAATGTTCAGTACAATAATGTCTCCCTCCAGACCAATGGGTAAATGTAATTCCTATTATGTAAAGCAAAGTTTCCTGAAACTTAGGTTGAACAACCTTCTATCCTCTAATATAACACTACATATTGCACATTTTCCCAAACATGAAGGAAAGAAATTTTAATTTACAAATAAGTTCATTCATTCAGCTAATACATGAACATACATGTCAACTAAATAAAATGGGTGGAATTTTTTTTTTCATCTTTTTTTTTTTTTTTAAGATTTATGGCCTGAACCAGGGTACAGGCCAGATACGTGGGAGGGTGAGAGGACTCACCAGAGACAGAGTCGGGAACAGAACAGGCAGACTGATGAAATACACTGCTGAGGGGAGCAGCGAGTGAGACAGGAGAGGTCTGCTTGCCATGTGGGTTGCTCGGAGGCTGGCGGGGATTGAACTGGCACTGCAGAGGCTGCAGACAGCCTCACAGCGCTGCACTCAACCGCCTGAGCTACCAGGGAGGCCCTTTTTTAAAAATCTTTTTAAAATCTTGATTCACATGAATTAACAGCAAAAGCAATGTGAAATAATTGGTGACAAAAATATCAACTATGTATTAGTTAATATTAAGGAATTATCAGTTGTATTAAATTAAGGTTAGATACAAAAAAGTCTGTTAGAAATACATTATAAGTATTAACACATGAAAGTATGCTTTAGGGAATTACTTTAATTTACTCCTTTATAAACTTAAAAGTAAATATGTGGAGAACATATAGTTGAAACAAAATAGGACAATGGATAGATAGGTATCTGGGCAATGGATAGATAGGAATTTATAATGCTATTAACTCTTTTAACAAACATGGACTCAGTACAGCTTTGATTCAAATCCCAGAATTGCTACATAATAACTCTGATCTTTGCAAAGTTCCTTAACATTCCTTCTTCAGTTTCCTTAGCTGAAAGTGAAAATATATTATAACTTACTTTATAAAGTTGCAATGAGTTTTAAATGTATTAACAATTTTAGGCACTTAGAAAAGTGCCTTGCTACATATATTAATTAAATTCTAAAATCAAAATATTGTTAGATTGAAATAGTTTTAAAACAAGGAATTTAGGCACACAATTATATTTTAAGTATTAATTACTATTGCATGTCATAGAATAAATGCACTTAATATTAAACCACCAATTTATACCTTTGTAAAGAACCATTTTTTTTTTAAATTTTGTAGCTACTTTTGTCTTCTTGTAATTTTATTGTACGTTTTATCTTATATTTTATGATTTATTTACATCTTCTTGTGTTTTTACCTTAGATTGGTAATGGGAGCCCATTAGATATTTTGAGTTTAATTCAAGGTCTCCCAACATTTCCATGATTTCTTCTGCATACAATAAATTTATGAAGTTGTTTTCAAATTCCCTTTCATTACAT